CTATATATATATATATATATATATATATATATATAGTTTTATTCGAAGAAGGTATATGTATTTTTATTCACTTTTTTTGAAGTTTCAGCAGTTGCTGTGTGACTAGTCAATAGTCTACTCAATCATTTGTAGCGTTTGTTTGTGATATTGATAACGTCAATATTGCCTAAAAGACTGGCTTGCATACGTGCCATAACGTGATAAAGTACTTACGAATAACCACGCAACTCCTCACTTTTCAGCTTCAACAATCGCACTTAGATACTTTAAATGACCGGTTTCATTTATTCTGCTTCTAAATCACTCAGGGTCTTATCTGTTTTGTTCACGTACAAATGCGTGATTTTATTCATATTCTTTTTTGATCTTGCTGTATTGTTCACCAAATTCAATTTGAACTTCTGGCTTGTATTGCACGTAAACGTTTGGTACAGTTTAGTCATTGGAAGTAAAAAAAGCGTCATGTTTTTTGTATGTGATCCTTATTTTTTAGTATGATTCAATCATGGATTTAGAGCTGAAATTGAAAAGTATGTTCGAATGAACATAAAATGATATATATTTTGGTTTATTTGATGTGTCTGCGTATGGACATAGACTTGGGTTTTGAGCTGCGCACAAAATTCGATATTATGTTGAATGTTTTCTCGAATTCCAATTTATTATTGATAATGATGGATAGAATTAAAATTTGACATAGTGAAAACACCGAAGTATTATCCACGTCCAATTAGTCACTCATGAGGCAACAGAATGTGAAAATGTTCATTATTCGTGATCTGTTTCTGGTCGTGGTTATTCGTAAGTACTTTATCGCATGTAGCACGTATGCAAGCCAATATTTTCAATTTTTGTTTGTTTTTTTTTCCATTCGCATATTCCAAAACAGCAACATTCACACAGGAATGGGTTCAGGTGCGAGTTATGAAATGTAGGCGTGCCTTTATTCTGTTCTGTTGAATACAACCAGTGAGTTTGCTGTTTAAGTAACTGTTATTTGGCAGTTCACTGTTCTCACATCAGCATAGATCGAAGCGAACTATAAAGGTGATTTAACTTCAAAGACTGCGACATATTCTTCTTCGGTAATAATGCATTGATTGAACAGTTACAGTAAAGCCAATGAATGGATGAAGCCTAGGTGTGGGTGTTTCACCTTTACAGTTATTCAAATTTGGCATAATCTGAGGCCAACTTTGGCGGGTGTTCTTACATCAGCTGAGCTGTCATTCAGTATATCTTAATGTGTGTTGACGTTTTACAATTTAGCGATTGCTCAATAATTCAGTGCTGTTGATAGTTGTTACAATCATTTCAGTTATTCATACGTGCACTTCTGTATGTATCTGAACTATGCTCTTATTGAATTGAAATTATGACGGACTCTTAGCAGTCATAATTTTGTCTCTTTTATGGAGTTGTCATTGATATTATCTTTGCCTAAATGCCTCAATACAGTCTTCTTCTCAAAAATACTGTAATACAACGCATGATACAACAGAAGTAATGCATGATACAGTTTTTAGTAACGAAAAAAATGAGGATCGAATAAACATGATTTTTGAATTAAACGGCTTTCCGCTTGTTATTCTCTGCATTAATGATAATAATAGTAACAACAGTAATAATAATATAATGGTAATACTAATTATAATATCAATAATAATAATAGTAATAATAATAATGGCAACAATAATAATAAAAAGAGTAATTATTATGAGATCGTTCTAATAATTGATTACTGTTATAATCTCGATTAAAGATTCGACTTATGCATATGCGATAATTCTTCTCAAGAAATACTTTATTGTTCTTCATATAAATTTCATCAAGTAACGTAATTTTGAGTGCTGAGTTATTCTATAACAGTTACTAGTTTTATTGTTAATTATTGGTTATTAAATAACAGTTTTTTTATGCTAAATGAGTGATTGATTGGATTGGCGCAGCCTTGAGAAGAAATTTTGATCGGAATAATAAAAGTTGTTTAGATTGATTCAAAGTTGCTTGTTTTTTGAAAATGAAGTTGAGAATGGTAGTAGATGAATAAATGCAAATGTGTTTTATATTTGAAGATTGGACACGACACGTTCATTGATTTGCAGTTTGAATTCGGCACAACTTCGAATGGTTTTTTGTTCGTTTCGAGTGATGAATAAATAAATTGAAATGATAATAATTTTCAGTGATGCGGAGTGTTGCGTTCTTACCGATTGCAAGACAATTGCGATGCTTGACTTTAAGCAGTAGAGTGCCGCATGCCATTCAGGGACCGGCGGTACGTTCGATTATCGCGCAGTACGAGATCAGCGAAGGTGACGTGAAACCGTCTGGACCGAAAGGGAACATCACGAAGAGTGATTTGTTGCAGTTCATTGATAATGCACATCTCAAGCCTGTTCCCCCTAAACCTGTCCCTCCACCACCAACACCAGCCGTTTCCGCCCCACCGACGCCAACCCCAAAACCGAAAGTAGCAGCTGCACCTAAACCCGCGCCTACTGCCGCACCGCCAACCGCAAAAGCAGCGCCACCGCCAGCCGCAAAACCGGCGCCTGTGTCCAAGCCAGCAGCAGCAGCAGCTCAACCGCAACTCACCAGTCAACGACGACCACCAAAGTAAGGAATTAAGTTTTATGCACGCTTATCTTTTTACTGGATGTGATAAGTACGTAATGTGATCATAATAATTTTTTGTATGGAAAGGTGTAAGAAATTATAAGCAGAATGCAAATTGTAATCAACTAATTCAATCAGATATACGGATATAGAATTAACGAATATGCGCTCGGTAATTGCTAAACGTCTTGTTGAATCGAAACAAAGCACTCCACATACATATGCGATACAGAAGATCGATTCGGACAATGTGAATGCATTACGTAAAAAATTGAAAAAGGATGGTATAAGCGTATCGATTAATGACTTCATTATCAAAGCGTGTGCATGTGCACTACGTGCTGTTCCAGAAGTCAATGTGAAATGGGTTAAGGATCATGTTGAACCCCTGCCAGATGTTCGTTTTCCGTTTCAATCTCAAACTTTCATCTCGTGAATGTATATATTTTTTTTGAATTCGCAACGTTGATACCATGCAACTTTCGATTGAGCAATGAGCAGAGTAAATATTGCTTGCTACGTTCCAATATTCGCCATTACAAAGAAGTGAGATGACGCAATTAATTCAGGTGGATATCTCTGTGGCAGTAGCGACACCAGCTGGGCTGATCACTCCGATTGTATTTAAAGCGGACACTTTGGGTGTAGGTGAGATCAGCGCTAAAGTGAAGGAATTAGCCAAAAAAGCAAGAGCCAATAAATTGACGGTAATAATGAATAATAATAATAATAATAATAATAATAATAATAATGAATATCGCTGGTTCAGTGAGTTGCTTTTCGATGAAACATTTAAAAATACTTGTTTATC